TTTTTATTTGAATATAATGGTACAATAACAAATAATTATTTTTTCGAGAAGTACAATTAGACATACGTGAGATGTGATCATTTTTTTTTATAAAATGATATTTGTATCGGGCTGTTTTCGCATCGGTCAATTATTATAGCAGTAGGCTTAGCAAATCGAATCGAGAGATATAGTACCACGTGATCGTCAATGAGCAGCTGTATGATGTCGAGACAGCACTTAAAGCTGTTGAGCTGGCGTTGAAAATTTTGTTTTCTCTCGATTGCAACTATCCCAAATACACAAAAACTATTTGGACTTTTTTGCATAAAATTCTTTTATAATAAATTCTGCTAGACATATAGTACGAGTAGATCTTCCTGAAGACGAAGTCACCGTGGATGGCAATGGCAATTTATATTTTACGTTGCTATTATGAGTTTTCATAATTTATTTTCATGAAGATTAGCACAGTTCCGTAAAAATAAGCACAAAGTGTGATTTCTTTGTGTGAATATTGAGTATTATTAATTGATAGTGATCTTGCGTTTACTGTTGCAATGGATACTGCAGTTTGTTCACATTGCGAGCTTTCTGTTGATAGTTATAAGGCTTTATTTAAACATATCACTCAAGACCATGCTGATTCAAGTAACTTGCATTGTTTCGTACAAGATTGTAAAAGGTCATACTCATCTATTGATTGCTTTAAAAAGCATTTTTATAATAAGCACAAAGAAATTACTACTAATATTATACCTTTTGTAGCTCTTGAAGAAATTGATAGACCTCAGATTGAAAATACACATGTAAAAAATCCTCTCATTGATTTAGAAGAGAGTAATTCAGGCGAATCAGTTTTGTACGATTCCTGTGAAGAGCCAAACATTGATCACGAGGACAAATCGCCGCCTCTATACGCGAAACCTCTCAATGACATTGCTTTAGAATTCAGCGCTAATCTCTCATCTTTCAAAAAGCTACCAAGAAAACATGTCAATGAGATGATACTCATGACAAATAAATTTGTATGCAATGTTACAGACCTTTTGAAAACAGAAATTACAAATGAGTTGGTTAGCGCAAATTCAAATGTTAGTAGAGAATGTTTAGAAAATATTAGTAAAATAATAGATGACTTTTCTAAGTGCTTAAATACCGTAGACACGGAACATAAGCGGCTTGTTCAATACAAAAAATTACGCACATACATTGCGTCAATTAGCGTTCCAGTAGGTGAAAGGGTCGAATACAAAAAAATCAGAAATGTACAAATGCTGGTTCATGTACCTGTAAACGCACAATTCATTCCTTTGAGATTTGTGTTAAAACAGTTTTTTGAATTACCACTAGTATTCAAAGAAACTATGGAGTATTTATAGTATATGCAATTAAATGATAAAATAATAACGAATTTCGTTCAAGGAGACTTCTGGAGAGAGCGTATGCGAACGTTTGGAGATAAAATTGTTTTTCCTTTGATAATGTATTATAATGATTACGAAAACAATAATCCACTAGAAACGCATAAAGGATTATCAAAATCCGGTGCTGTAGACATAAGCATACCAGGTTTACCTTTAAAATACCAAGCTTATTTTAAAATACCTTTAAAATACGCAACATTTTTTTATTTTTATTGTTCAACACGCTTGACAGGAAAGTTTTTAAAAATCCAATAATTTTAAGTAAAGCAATAGACGAACTGAATTTTTTAAACGAGTGCGGAATCGAAATTGAATAGCCGGAGGGGCGTAAAACAATTTATTTTGAGCTTTCGTTATTTATTGGAGATAATCTTGGGCTGCATACTCTTCTGGGATTAACCGAATCTTTCAATTCTACTGTTTTTTGTCATCACTGTCTCATAAAAAAAGAAGAAATCGATAAAATTTTTTTGGAAAAACAATGTACTCTCCGAACGGTTGCCAATTATAATTATCTATTAAATTTGAAAGATTCGAAAAAATCTGGTATCGTTGAAGAGTGTGTTTTACACAACATCCGTCACTTTCACTCGTCAAAAAATATTGCGGTTGATGCCATGCACGACCTTCTCGATGGAATTTGCCGATATGACATTGCGCTATTACTCAACTACTTCATTTTCGAAAAAGAATACCTGTCTCTCGATGATTTTAATTCTAAAGTGCGTGGCTTTGATTATGGCCCAGGTTACAATGTTAATAAACCCACAGAGATATCAGAAAATCTATTAAAAATGGATGCATCATTTTATCGTCGGCTGAGATGTTAAACTTAGTTTTAATTATAAAATTAATCATAGGGCCATTAGTACCTGCCGATTGCGAGAAATGGCAGATGTACTTGACTTTTTGAGAATTGATAGTTGTATTCGAGAGTAAGCTCCATCCATTGACATACCAATATTTAGAAACAATCGTTTTTGAATACTTGTCGCTTCTTGCGACTCATTTTCCGAATAAATTTAGGCCAATACATCACTTTTTAGTACATTATCCTCGCATTATGAGATTGTTCGGTCCTTTAGGTAAAATATGTTGCCTAAGGTTCGAATTCAAAAATCAAGAAGGGAAGAGCGTAGCTAAAAGCACTACGAGTCAAATAAATATTAATAGAACCATAGCTATCAAACACCAGTTAGATTTAAATTATCGGTTTATGTCAAAAAAATCTTGCGAACCAATCGTTGAATCAAAAAGTCGTAAGTTGATATCGTCAAAAATTTTAACGGACTATAATAAATATGCGTCACTAATTAATAGTTGCAAAATAGTTCGTGTCAAATCTGTTTCGTTTTATGATAAAACGATAAAGAAAAATACAGTTCTTGTGTCGCCTTTCTCGTCAGGTCCTATTTTTAGAATTGTTCACGAAATAATATTCAAACAAGCACATATTTTTATTACTAAAAACTTGAAAGATGTTTATTTCGATGAACATTTAAACGCATTCAAAGTATTTGATTTAGAATGTTTTTCTTGGGAAAAAGTTAGAGAGGACGAACTTCACGATTGTTTTATAACATACATAAACTTATTAAATGATGGATTTTATTATGTAAATAAAAATTGGATATAATAAAATAGAAACTCATTTGTAAATTATTATTTTCATTAACTTCCCGATCAATAACAATATTTATCTCCAATGTTGTATTGGAATCCGATTTAAATGTAACTATGTACAAAATCATATAGGTAGATGGCGTTTGGAAACTCGCGAGCGGCTGAAAACGTGGCCGCTTACTATATAAGAACCTGGTTTTCTAACATGCATATATGTGTAAAATGCGTGCGTGCGATTCGATACATTTATATTGATAAGGTCCAAAAGGGAATTGCAGGTTAGATAATAAAGCGTTCTTAGTCTGAAAGCGAGAATTGTAGGTTAGATAAAGCGTTCTTCGATATTCATGTAAGTTACAAAAGTAACATCGTAGTTCAAATGTTTCAGAAGTATCTCCGGAAATCTACATAGGAAGAATTCACCAGTCCTTTTTTTTATTTAAAATCCATACTAATAAAAAATAGTATATGTGAGAAGAAATTTTCATAAAATTTATAGTAATATTTCTTATGTGGATACTAAATTTTACTATACTTTTTAGTAAAATTTTCTACGTGGATACTAAATTTTACTATACTTTTTAGTAAAATTTTCTACGTGGATACTAAGTTTTACTATACTTTTTAGTAAAATTTGTATTTTTAAATTTTGCTAAACATATAGTAATTTTACCTATATAGCAAGGATGTCACTACTTTATAATATTTTTTTGTAAATTTTGCTAGAATTCTGACAATTTTTACTAGGCAATTTCTTTCAGTGTATAAAATTTTATTTCTACATGTTAATTCTAAAAATATGAATGGATAATTGAAAATTATAATATTTTGACCAAATATGCGTATAAGATAGTTTTCTCAAATAAATATTTCATAAAAGTTTGAAGAACAATAATTTAGTATTCAGTTTTGTTGATACATATTAATTAAACATGTTTCTAGAGAATTATTATGTTTCTTTAATTTATTAATAATAAAAATTAGTTTGTAATAAATAAATGATTTTATTTTTAATACATATTTTTTAATTTATTTTTAATAAATTTTCTTTAAAATAGATTACTATTATTTGAATAAATATGACAATTTGTTAATATAAAAATGACCCGAATACTTATAATAATTTATATAATATTTGTAATAATAAATGTATTATGAGAAAAAGCTATTCAAGAATATGTGAAAACAGCACAGATAAATTGAAAATAACGTTGAAATATACTTACGTGTACTTGTACTTGCACAAATCTGAATCTGATATGTGCACAATATTTTAATAAAGGTTAACATTATAATAGTACTTCTAAAATTTCAATTTTTAATGCCTCTTTAATATTTAAATTCATCATAACTGTGACTATGACATTTTTAAATTATATATTATTCAATAGTCACAAATAGATCTGTATATATATTAATAGGAGTTCTGAATTTGTTTATTTATATGTTGCAATATTTCAGTGAGATAGATAGGGAGAGAGCATTTTGAATTATATTGTGCTCTGTAACCAAATGTTACATGAAAATATTCTAGTAACTTATTACTGACTTATTATTGAAGTCAATTAATAAACGATATTACAACTAAAAAGTAAAAATAAAACAAAGTATAACATGGATTCTTACGATGAATATAAATAGTATATTTATGTACGCCATATAGTGTAGGACCTACATATTTTCTTCTATTCTACATGATATAAGTTGGTATCACTAGAACCTCTATCGGTAAAGACAGTTTCCATGAGAATTGCAAGAGGGTTGGGTTGAGTCAAAATGCGATGCGTATTGTGAACGCAGCCAAAAATGAACTGTCATGTAAGAAGGTGATCATGAGAATCAAGGCACATAGCGCAAGCGCCGTTATTGCGGCGACGCCTTGGTGCCGTCTCTCCCTCTCTGCTTTTGCATTGGCGTACAATAAACGTATCGTGGCCGGACCCTCCCTTCAGTATTCACTGTTCCCTTGACTTCCACGGAAGTTTTCAACTAATGTTATTGCTACTCTTTATGCATATAGTTTTGCCTCACAGCATTTTCATTGATATTGTAAGATGTATTTAATTAAAATAAATTGATTGAGTGCTTATATTGACGGTCAATGATTTTGAGCAGATAATTATAAATCAAGATACTAAAGTTTCGCTGCCTGTTGCATATATAGCTATACGCACGTTATGTCTATCGGCGACACCCATCATGTGCACGCGATGGCGCTGTGTACCACCTGATGAACTGAACAATTGAATGATTAGTCAGGCTAATGGGAAATTGTCTTTTGCAGTTGGGCTCATATCAATTTCCTAACTTTTAATGAACGAATGAGCTGAAGGTTGTTGCTGTAATGACATCAATAGAGAAAAAACAAGATGGAACTTGTAAGATTGTATATAATTATTATATTAATCAGATAACAATTCTTAAGTATAGACTTTCCTTATTGCTTTTCCGATACAGACACGACTTATGGCTCTTACAATTTTTATTATCACGTTTACTATTTCCTTCAGTTTGCTTTACAATTTTTTAATTTTTTTTACCACTAGAGGGCGCTTTGATTGTCTTGTAACTCTTTCTTTCTTTAACTTAAGACTGTTCTTTCACATTGAGTTATCACTTCGTTTGATTGAAAATCGTTATAAACAACGCACGCACTACCGAGAATGTTTTGTTTATATTGCCTAATTATGAAATTTTCGGGCGTCCGCAACTACATTGATCATTTATTTATTTTTTATGTTTAGATTTTTTCCTCTTATAATTTAAAATATTTATAATAATTACTATTCGTTATGAAGAGAAAAAAAATTTAAAAGATATAAACTCTATCTTAAAATAACTATAATATAGTAATTTTTCATTATAAGCTTTTACATATTTTTCTCTAATTCTAAGTAAATGATCGTAGCCTATGACAGAAAAGATGGTAGACTATATATCTCAGTTAGCAATAGGGATCAATGCAACAGACTCATATTTTATGAAAATGACCTGAAAATAATTCTTATTATTTTTTCAAATGTTTTTTTGTATTGTATGGGTATGAATAATCCGCTATATGCATTGAACAGATAGCAAAAGGGTATGAGTATACCGTCCGACTATAATTGATTCTTAAAAAAGTATTAAGATTCCATTATTTTATTGATAATTTCAAAAAGCGATTATGTGAAAACAAATTACTTGTTTCCTGAGTATCAAAACTAAGTCTCCTTACACATCCAAACGCGAACTCCTACACACCTATAAAGAAATGTAAGAGTACCTCTCCAATAACGTGGTAAAAGAGGCGGAAACCACACGCACACAGAGCTTATAGTGACTTACAAGTTGTTGCCAACTTTGGGTAATAAATGTCCTGAATATATATATAAAATAAAGTGTACTATTTTAACTTCCAATTTATATTATTGATTAATTTGCAAATAGCTGGTTATATAAATATTATAAGACTTATTGTTATAAGTCTCAATGCACATTCGCATAAATTGAAAAAGTTTCGTAGATTTTGGGCAAAGTCTCATTGAAATGTTGAAAATAATAATTTGTCAAATTTAACTATAATATTAGTCTATATTAATGATATACTGTATAATAATTCTACATGATTCTATACAAAACTGAAATATTTATTATGAATTCAATTGAGGTTATGTTATGCAGATTTCATCATTCAGAGTATTTAATATCCGAAATTGGCAACAACTTGTACATCACTATAAGCTTTGTGAGCGTCTGGTTACCGCCTCCTTTACCGTATTATTGGAGAGGCACCCTAAAAACTAACAGGTGAGTAGGCATCACACAATCTCTGCATATAATACATATTTCAAAATATTGCCTACCTAACTGCATCTACTCATTCCGTAAAAATGAATTTTTTGATAGTTGAAAATATTATTCCTGCCCAAAGCTCTGCGTGTAATCAGTATTATTTCCTTCTAACATAGTATATTTTTCTGTAGTCAAACATACGAACATTTTCAAAATCAATCAAATTAATTTTTTTATAGAAAAAATAATATTTAAATAATTATGCTTATTATTTTTTCTATATAAATTGTTAAAAATTACTATTAGGTGTAACACAGAAATATAATTGTTAGTCTAAACTTCCAGTAAATTAGAGGATGATGTGAAATCATTATTATACATCAGGCGAGTTTATTCACATAGTTAGTAAATATAACTATTATTATGTTAGATTTAAAAAATACGGTTATCACATAATCAAACGTTCATTATTTATTGACACTATAAGCCTCAAATAAACGTCATAAGACTAATCGTCAGGCCCCTCATTGTGGAAATCAAGACGATCGCATTCCCTTATCTGTATTATATGTTGCATAGAAAATAATTTTGTCATTGCAAATAAATATTTTAATTTTAATTGCATCCTATCATATATTGAAAAACTTAGTATTTATTTGGCATCGTTGGCGATGTTTAAGGGAGTTGAGTACCTACAAGAATTAACGAACAGAAAAATATGAAACTTTGCAGAGCGTTAGAATGTAACAAATTATGTACGTAAACTAATTTTCGGGAGCCTAGGTGGGTTTTTATAAAAGATATTCGTACTTTCATTTTCGGTCGTTACAAGCAAATTGAACACGTGGCCTTATGCGGAGTCACAGAGTTTTACGCATAAGATCGTTGATATCTTTGTAATTGACGAACAGATTTTAATGATATTTGAAAAGTAGATAGATAAGATATCCTAGAATACTTATCAACTTTAATAACATAGAAGGGTGAGCTCTATCAGTAATAATTATTACGATAACTACTGTAAATAGCTGTTTTTAGCTTGTTTGGTTACACATGTGGCAACGTCGCATACACAGTTAACAGTTCGTAGTGACTAAGTATTAAAATTTGTTTGAAAGATTGGATTTTTAAATATAAAATTTAATATATAATTATTCGTCTAATACATTATTGTAGTAAGAATATACAAAAAAGCTTTATTTCTATATATAGCGACATACATGTAAATATTGTTCCATGCAATATTGATACATGTGCGACTAGTACTTACACACGCACGCGCACACAAGTTAACAAAACGCGACGTTGCCAGATCGACTACCGCTGTAATCAACCTGAGTGTTTAGCTCTTATTTTACTAGACGGGTAGGTACTCAACTCCCTTAACTCCTTTCATACCAAACAGACAAGATTTCACATGTTTTTTCAGATGCTATAAACGTCGATAAATAGGCATCTAAAAAATTTCAAACCAGCCGTTTCTGACGTAAAACTTTATGAACTTTCTAAATCCATGGTCGGTTTTTGAAGAAAATAATGTTTTTTTGTAGGTTATATTTTATTTTTTAGTTAAAATGTACCGTTTTGTGAAAAGAAAATTACAATAAATACAGATTTTATAATTGAAATCGATATCTAATTAATTCATAAATCGCGATTTCTTGCTTTCATGGATTCTTAACCCTAAGACTTATGTGATAGCAAATCGAAATTCAAGATAGCGGTTTTCAAAATGGCGCCTCAAATTAAAAATTTTACTGCAAAATGTTATTTTTTCAAATTTAAAATCATTTTATGATGAATTTATGGGAAAATGTACAAGTGAAGGTTTTAAAGACCACTGATGACGAATCTAAGGTTAAATAAAAAAATCCAATATGGCTGTTCCAAAATGGTGGACTAAAATTTCGAAAATCGCACTGATTGATGAAAAATTTTGCTTACTAAAAATTTTGCTTACTTATTTATTAAAAATTTTTCGAGTCGCTAATTACGAATCTGAAGTCATATTTTGTAAATTTTAGAATTAAAGATTGCGGATCCAATATGGCGAACGAAAATTTTTAAAATGTACAAATTTATACTAAATTTTGAACAAAGCAGTATTTTGGTCGTTTTAAAATGACGGAACATATTTTATCAAATTAATTTTTTTTTAGTGATGTTGAATTTTGTTTTGGTATTTTTTCAATGTGTTTTTATTATTTTGTTTTTATTTTTTTGTATATTTTTATCTTTGAAAGAAAATTTTTTAGTTTATTTAAAATTTTTTTGTTATTTATTTATTCTCTATTTTCATTTTTATGAAGTGCTAATAATTTATTAAATTTCCTTATACAGGGTGTCCCATTTTAACTTACGCACCAAGATAACCCAAAAACTATGAGAGCTAGCGAAAAATGTTTTGAATAAAAGTTACTCGTCTCCGAGGGGGACATATTATGGTGCCCTTGACTTTGACCTCGAGGGTCATTTTCAAGGTCATTCGAAGGTCAACTTTGTTTTTTCAAATAGGAACCCCTATTTTCGACCCCGGATTCGGAAAGAGCGGAAAATTCTACGTTTAGATGACCTATCATGCGTGGGGTCCGGGAGACCCGCCAAGGTCATTTGAAGGTCAACTTTGTTTTTTCAAATAGGAATCCCTAATTTTAACCCCGGATTCGAAAAGTACAAAAAATCCTAAATATTTTATGTAATGAATTAATTCAACTTTCCATGGCCATTTAAACGTCAAATTAATGGCAAATTACTTTACTCGGAACAGTTTCATGTTTTCATATGAGAAATAAAGTATGCGTAAATTTTAGAACACACTAAATTTATTCAACTTTTTATGTACAGAGTTTAACAAAAAAATATTAGTCATTAGTAGTAATAATCAACAGTATTAGTCAATCTGATGAGGAATAACTCAATAATAACAATAATAATGATCTGGCAATAAGTTGGTGATGAATGATGCGCACGCACAATTACATGAGATGTTCAATAGGTCCCCCATTGTTTGCTAAGCATGTTTCCAAACGTCGATGATAATTATTGAGAACGTTTGTAAGTATTTCAGGCGTAACAGCTGCACAAGCTCTTCTCACCCTATCCATCATATCTAATCTAGTGGTAGGTGCATCCTTGTAAACAGCGTCCTTGCAATATCCCCAGAAATAGCTGTCTAGTGGATTCAGGTCAGGAGACCTAGGTGGCCAGGGAACTGGACCACCTCGACCTATCCAATGGTCACGTAATTGAGCATTCAAAAATTCTCTAACGTTTACATCAAAGTGAGCTGGAGCACCATCTTGTTGTAGCCACATGAGCTGCCGAACATTCAGTGGGATGTCCTCCAAGTATTCAGGTAGATGATTCTCCAGAAAATCAAGATATGCTTGGCCGTTGACATTGCCATCAAAAAAATGGGGACCAATAATATGCCCGTTGAATATTCCCACCCAAACATTAAGACTCCAACGGTGTTGATTTATCACTTGACGATGCCAATGAGGATTGACAGGTGACCAATAATGACAATTATGTCTATTGAGTTTACCGTCACTTTTGAAGGTAGCTTCATCGCTAAAACAAACATTCCAAAAGAAATTGGGAT